AGAGCTAAGGGGATTGACCGACGAAGAAAGGTTAAGGGAAATCGGCCTGACGACACTGGAGGACAGGAGGGTCAGGGGAGACATGATAACGACATAAAAAATACTGCCAGGAATTGACAAGGTGATATAGACAGGATGTGACACAGCAACAAGGGGTCACAGTTGGAAGTTGAAGACACAGATAAGTTACAGGGATGTTAGGAAGTATTTCTTTAGTCATAGAGTTGTCAGGAAGTGGAATAGTCTAGCAAGTGACGTAGTGGAGGCAGGAACCATACATAGTTTTAAGAAGAGGTATGATAAAGCTTATGGAGCAGGGAGAGTGACTCAGTAGCGACCAGTGAAGAGGCGGGGCCAGGAGCTGAGTCTCGACCCCTGCAAGCAGTTAGGTGAGTACACACTAAAATAGAATCTTGTAATTTGTCTCCCTGGAGAGAGTTAGTGACATGGAAGGTTGATCCGAGGAGAGGGAGAGAAGCTCCAATACAGTGAATCAAGATCCCTTCAGCAGGCGCAATATATATCAGGTTGTTAATAAAGTAATTTACGTATTTTATAAAATGGGAAGAAAACTTGATTAATAATCAAAATTATCAGTGATGATATAACCTAAAATTATTAATTTTATTTAATCCTGTTTGAATTATATTTTGCGGATGCTGCGTTGCCACATCTCCCAGACTTGTCAATATTTATACTGATGAGAAGACGCACAAAGTAATTAAGTACAAACTACAGCAAAGGATTATATATTATAACTACAATAGTAATGTAATAGTAACACAGCAGTTGCAAAAGTAATTAAGATAATGAAGGAGATGAGAGGAAGAGCAACAACGGTGAGTCAACAAAGATGGCGACGGTGGTAACGTCACTCTGGTCATATTTTTATTAATTTAAGTCGTTATAAAGACTTAAATGAGGTCAATACTTTGTGTACATCTGCGTCAACACTGACAGCAACACTACGTCAGTCAACACAACAAGTGGACAATATAACAGGTCAGAAATATATCATTAATGATCCTTGGTGGGATTCTGTTCTCCAGGGAGGTTCCTTGATGCTGGTGAGGGGCTCTTGATCCAAGGAATTTTGATCCGTACTCCCCTTCCTTGGATCCATCCTGAATGTCTTCCATTTCTCTGAGACCCTGAATGACCCCGTACTGTTTTATCGCGTTCCCAGGAATGCAATAATAGGCCTGACGTAAATTATTATTATTATTATTATTATTATAATTATTATTATTTATTATTGTTAATTTATTAATTATTTATTAATTATCTATTATTATTATTACGTTCATTGTGAGCACTAAACCCATAGGGGTCATACACTGCCACGGGGAATGGAAGTCACTCAGGTTTGATCCAAGGAATTGGAGCAATGATCCAATTCCTTTGATCAAAAGCCCTCACCAGCATCAAGAAACCTTCTTGAGGGGAATCAGCACTATAACCCTTACGGGTTTGACCCTTCCAGGTCTTAAAATTAGTGTATAGCCCCTAGGGCTTTAGAGCTCCACCATGAATAACTTCCGTGTTGTAAATATCGTAAAATATAAAATAATAGACCAGTAGTAGGAGTTTAAAACCTATCTACTCCACAATTATCTGGAGAGTGAAGTAGTGGAGGCAGGATCAATACACAGCTTTAAGAAGAGGTACGATAAATGCTTAAGAGGCACCTAAGTTCTCCCGTCTGTTTATTTTTCACGATAGTTTACCTTGTACATAATTAACTGAGTCTCGACACCTGCAACCACAATTAGGTGAGGGGCTCTTGATCTAGGTCCCTCAAGGTAGGTTCCTTGATGCTGGTGAGGAGCTCTTGATCTAGGTCCCTCAAGGTAGGTTCCTTGATGCTGGTGAGGAGCTCTTGATCTAGGTCCCTCAAGGTAGGTTCCTTGATGCTGGTGAGGGGCTCTTGATCTAGGTCCCTCAAGGTAGGTTCCTTGATGCTGGTGAGGAGCTCTTGATCTAGATCCCTCAAGGTAGGTTCCTTGATGCTGGTGAGGAGCTCTTGATCTAGGTCCCTCAAGGTAGGTTCCTTGATGCTGGTGAGGGGCTCTTGATCTAGGTCCCTCAAGGTAGGTTCCTTGATGATGGTGAGGAGCTCTTGATCTAGGTCCCTCAAGGTAGGTTCCTTGATGCTGGTGAGGGGCTCTTGATCTAGGTCCCTCAAGGTAGGTTCCTTGATTCTGGTGAGGGGCTCTTGATCTAGGTCCCTCAAGGTAGGTTCCTTGATGCTGGTGAGGGGCTCTTGATCTAGGTCCCTCAATGTAGGTTCCTTGATGTTGGTGAGGGGCTCTTGATCTAGGGAATTGGATCTGTGCTCCAGTTCCCTGAATCGAGTCTAAATACCTTCCCCCCCAAAGGCGCTGTATAATCCTACGGATTATACAGGGGTCAGTGTTGGGCCCCCTGCTGTTCACAATCTACATAAACGACATAGATGAGGGCATAAAGAGCGACATCAGCAAGTTGGCCGATGACACCAAAATAGGCCGTCGAATTCATTCTGACGAGGACATTAGAGCACTCCAGGAAGATTTGAATAGACTGATGCAGTGGTCGGGGAAGTGGCAGATGCAGTTTAATATAGACAAATGCAAAGTTCTAAATGTTGGACAGGACAATAACCATGCCACATATAAACTAAATAATGTAGATCTTAATATTACGGATTGTGAAAAAGATTTAGGAGTTCTGGTTAGCAGTAATCTGAAACCAAGACAACAGTGCATAAGTATTCGCAATAAAGCTAATAGAATCCTTGGCTTCATATCAAGAAGCATAAATAATAGGAGTCCTCAGGTTGTTCTTCAACTCTATACATCCTTGGTTAGGCCTCATTTAGATTATGCTGCACAGTTTTGGTCACCGTATTACAGAATGGATGTAAATGCTCTGGAAAATGTACAAAGGAGGATGACAAAGTTGATCCCATGTATCAGAAACCTTCCCTATGAGGATAGACTGAGGGCCCTGAATCTGCACTCTCTAGAAAGACGTAGAATTATTGGGGATATGATTGAGGTGTATAAATGGAAGACAGGAATAAATAAAGGGGATGTAAATAGTGTGCTGAAAATATCTAGCCTAGACAGGACTCGCAGCAATGGTTTTAGGTTGGAAAAATTCAGATTCGGGAAGGATATAGGAAAGTACTGGTTTGGTAATAGAGTTGTGGATGAGTGGAACAAACTCCCGAGTTATATTTAAGAGGCCAGAACTTTTGTGTAGCTTTAAAAAATAGGTTGGATAAATACATGAAGTGGATGTGGTGGGTGTGAGTTGGACCTTGTGCTACCGGGGTTTCGGTTGCCGTTTTTCCTCCCTTAATCAATGTGACCTGACCTGACTAGGTTGGGGGGCATTGGTTTAAGCCGGTAGGAGATTTGGGACCTGCCTCGCATGGACCAGTAGGCCTGCTGCAGTGTTCGTTTATGTTCTTATGTTCAGCCTTGGGAGTTAGTGTGACAGCATCGTGTTGGAGGGGGAATCTGGAGCAAAGGCAAGAGATTTGCGGTTATAATAGGCGTCAGTGGATAAGAACGTGTAGCAGACGAGGGCATAGTCACTGGTGGGCCCGGGATTCCCCAGGGGGAAGTATATATATATATAGTTCTACTGTCTTCTAATTATGTCCTAGAATCTGTATGATAAAGCCACTGGATGGCGAAACGTCTACAATAAAGATATCCAAATGTTGCACATGTGTCTTAACTTTCATATTGTCGGTATTTTATACGTTTCTTGCACAATTTCAAATTTGTGGAGCCACACACGCTAATAATTGTAATTACACGTTCTGTTAATTGGGAAGATCATTCACTGGCTCTAGGAGCAATAGTTACTACTGAGTTCTCCCAGCATCTTGGAATAAGTCAATGGCCCCCAGGGGCCCCTGAGCCACTTAGAATAAGTCATGCCTCCCCCATCCCCACGTTAAGATAGAGATAAGATTTGATCAAATTTTTAACATGTAGGTAGTGTTGAGAAGCCAGGATTACGCAAGAAAAGTCAGTGCGTCATCGAGGACTGTCTGTCTTATTTCCATTGTTGTCCTTCAATCTTGTTCTCCAGGATGCCACCCACACTGGTCAACTAACACCCAGGTACCTACTTACTGCTAGGTGAACACTGACAGCAGGTGTACGGAAACATGCCCAGTGTTTCACCCACGCTGGAGCTTGAACCACGGACACTCAGTGTGTGAGGCGAGAGCGTTACCAACCAAGCCACGGGACGCCATAATGTAAAAACCACTTAATAATAACTAAAACATTCGAAAACGCTAATGCTTAGAAAATGATTCTACTTATGAAAGGTAAGTTAGTAGCTGTCACAAGTCACGTGGGGGTGGAAATACTTAACTCAAGATCTTTCACACTCCCGTGCGTCGTCAGGAGCTATGCTGTGTGCAGCACTTGAGACATTGGAGGGAATTAATGTTGAGCTAAGCTAGGGGTGGATAAACCCAAACCAAATAATGGGGGGTATGGGAACTAAATAATGGGTATGGGAACCAAATAATGGGGGTATGGGAACTAAATCATGGGGGTATGGGACTCAGTCTCTGAACAATTTAAAAAATTTGTTATGTTAGAATAACCAGGTGTTGTGTTGCTAGCTATATGTCAAGTATAACCAAGATATTGACATCTTCTGGAGTCATAATGGTACCTAATAGGACTGGTGATAATTTCCACAGTCTGGTGAAGGAGGTATGGACATATATTGGGCAATTTATTGGGTGTCTATAATATTAAAATCGTCAAGAACACCTGACCTAAGGGAAGACGTTACTGGGTGGACTCATAAGATTGAAGATAGATAATTGGTTCACTAGGTACAGTGGTTGAAGGTTGAAGATAGACAATTGGTTCACTAGGTACAGTGGTTGAAGGTTGAAGATAGACAAATTTGGGTTTTCATTTGGGTTTACAGTGGTTGAAGGTTGAAGATAACAATTGGTTCACTGGTACAGGGGGTTGAAGGTTGAAGATAGACAATTGGTTCACTTGGGTACAGTGGTTGAAGGTTGAAGATAGACAATTGGTTCACTTGGTACAGTGGTTGAAGGTTGAAGATAGACAATTGGTTCACTCGGTACAGTGGTTGAAGGTTGAAGATAGACAATTGGTTCACTTGGTACAGTGGTTGAAGGTTGAAGATAGACAATTGGTTCACTTGGTACAGTGGTTGAAGGTTTGAAGATAGACAATTGGTTCACTTGGTACAGTGGTTGAAGGTTGAAGATAGACAATTGGTTCACTTGGTACAGTGGTTGAAGGTTGAAGATAGACAATTGGTTCACTCGGTACAGTGGTTGAAGGTTGAAGATAGACAATTGGTTCACTTGGTACAGTGGTTGAAGGTTGAAGATAGACAGTTGGTTCACTCGGTACAGTGGTTGAAGGTTGAAGATAGACAATTGGTTCACTCGGTACAGTGGTTGAAGGTTGAAGATAGACAATTGGTTCACTTGGTACAGTGGTTGAAGGTTGAAGACAGACAATTGGTTCACTTGGTACAGTGGTTGAGGGTTGAAGATAGCCCAATTTGGGTTCACTCGGTACAGTGGTTAAAGGGTTGAAGATAGACAATTGTTCACCGGAACAGTGGTTGAGGGTTGAAGATAGACAATTGGTTCACTCGGTACAGTGGCTGAAGGTTGAAGATAGACAATTGGTTCACTCGGTACAGTGGCTGAAGGTCGTGAAACAAGATTCTTGGAATGAAGCTTCTACGATCTCGTAGATGGTGGACCAGAAGGTTGAAGATAGACAATTGGTTCACTCGTAACAGTGGTTGAGGGTTGAAGATAGACAATCGGTTCACTCGGTACAGTGGTTGAGGGTTGAAGATAGACAATCGGTTCACTCGGTACAGTGGTTGAGGGTTGAAGATAGACAATTGGTTCACTCGGTACAGTGGTTGAGGGTTGAAGATAGACAAATGGTTCATTTGGGTTTACAGTGGTTTGAAGGTCGTGAACAAGATTCTTGGAATGAAGCTTCTACGATCTCGTAGATGGTGGACCAGAAGGTTGAAGATAGACAATCGGTTCACTCGGTACAGTGGTTGAGGGTTGAAGATAGACAATTGGTTCACTCGGTCCCGTGGCTGAAGGTCGTGAAACAAGATTCTTGGAATGAAGCTTCTACGATCTCGTAGACGGCAGTTATGGGGGAACACACTCCCCCCGATCACCCCACTATAATGATCTCCCCAAGAAGATCCTCTCCCACATGGCCATCGTCCTGTGCCAAATGTAACTATTAGTAACTTGTAGTAAAGACAACTAACACAACAAAAGAGTTCAAAACGGATTCACGTATTGTAAATTGTAGGTGTTTTATGAGTCCTTGACTTTAATATTAGTTCAGAAATGTTGTCCTCCTGCCTGTATATCCAGAGTGTGAGACAAAGACGGTGACATTGTAAGACAGACACAGACAGGGAGAGTGAGACAGCGGCAGACATGGTGAGACAGCCCACTGACAGGAGAGTAAAGCAGTGACAAAACCAATGCGTTCCAGGCTGGTCCTCCCCCACCCATGTTTCCAGGGTCCACTGTGATTATCTGTCAGTCGTAATATAAACACAAACACTTACAGACACAGACAGGGAGAGTGAGACAGCGGCAGACAGGGTGAGACAGACACTGACAGGGAGAGTGAGACAGTGACAGACCAATGCATTCCAAGCTGGTCCTCCACTCACCTATGTTTCCAGGGTCCACTGTGATCATCTATCAGTCGCAATATAAACACAAACACTGACAGACACTGACAGACACACAAAGACCAATACATTCCAAGCTGGTCCTCCACCCACCTATGTTTACTGGGTCCACTGTGATCATCTATCAGTCGTAATATAAACACAAACACTGACAGACACAAACACTGACAGACACAAACACTGACAGACACACACAGACCAACACATTCCAAGCTGGTCCTCCACCCACCTATGTTTCCAGGGCCCACTGTGATCATCTATCAGTCGCAATATAAACACAAACACTGACAGACACTGGCAGACACACAAAGACCAATACATTCCAAGCTGGTCCTCCACCCACCTATGTTTACTGGGTCCACTGTGATCATCTATCAGTCGTAATATAAACACAAACACTGACAGACACAAACACTGACAGACACACACAGACCAACACATTCCAAGCTGGTCCTCCACCCACCTATGTTTCCAGGGTCCACTGTGATCATCTATCAGTCGCATGTACATGAGTGGAGGAAGTACGAAGGTACAGAGGGTAATCAGAGAACCACCAATCAGGTTGAGGATCAGACCGAAGTCAGGAATGGCCAAACAAATCAACATCTGCAGCAACACTGTGACAGATCGAACAACACACCGCCTCCAGTTGAAATCTGTGACGATGACAGGAAATGGTATATCTCATAATGGCTTAGATTATCATCGCCTCCGCGGCCCGATTTAAGACCAGAACTCTTTAATTAGAAAGGAAATATCGCGGAAATAATATTTAGAAATGTGGTGGAATATAGATAAGGGAATGCCGAATGCATGACAGAAATATTCGTAAGTCCAGCAGTAACAGCCTGGTTGATCAGACCCTGATCCACCATGAGGCCTGGTCTCAGACCGAGTCGCGGGGGCGTTGACCCCCGAAACCCTCTCCAGGTAAACTCCAGGTTAGTCTTATGGGAGTGCAGAATTGTACAGGGGTATGGCACCTCTGTGACATACCCCTGTGGGGTGCCCCTGTGACATACTCCTGTGGGATGCCTCTGTGGGATGCCCCTGTGGGATGCCCCTGTGACATACCCCTGTGGGATGCCCCTGTGACATACCCCTGTGGGATGCCCCTGTGACATACCCCTGTGGGATGCCTCTGTGACATACCCCTGTGGGATGCCCCTGTGACATACCCCTGTGGGATGCCTCTGTGGGGTGCCCCTGTGACATACCCCTGTGCGATGCCTCTGTGGGATGCCCCCGTGGGATGCCTCTTGGGATGCCTCTGTGGGATGGCTCTGTGGGATGCCCCTGTGGGATGCCTCTGTGGGATGCCCCTGTGGGATGCCTCTGTGGGATGCCTCTGTGGGATGCCTCTGTGGGATGCCCCTGTGGGATGCCTCTGTGGGATGCCTCTGTGGGATGCCTCTGTGTGATGCCTCTGTGGGATGCCCCTGTGGGATGCCTCTGTGGGTTGCCTCTGTGGGATGCCTCTGTGGGATGCCTCTGTGGGATGCCTCTGTGGGATGCCCCTGTGGGATGCCTCTGTGGGATGCCTCTGTGGGATGCCTCTGTGGGATGCCCCTGTGGGATGCCCTTGGGATGCCTCTGTGGGATGCCTCTGTGGGATGCCTCTGTGGGATACCCCTGTGGGATGCCCCTGTGACATACCCCTGTGGGGTGCCTCTGTGGGATGCCCCTGTGACATACCCCTGTGGGATGCCCCTGTGACATACCCCTGTGGGATGCCCCTGTGACATACCCCTGTGGGATGCCTCTGTGACATACCCCTGTGGGATGCCTCTGTGGGGTGCCCCTGTGACATACCCCTGTGGGATGTCTGTGGGATGCCCCTGTGGGATGCCTCTGTGGGATGCCTCTGTGGGATGCCTCTGTGGGATGCCTCTGTGGGATGCCTCTGTGGGATGCCTCTGTGGGATGCCCCTGTGGGATGCCCCTGTGGGATGCCTCTGTGGGATGCCTCTGTGGGATACCTCTGTGGGATGTCCCTGTGGGATGCCTCTGGGATGCCTCTGTGGGATGCCTCTGTGGGATGCCTCTGTGGGATGCCCCTGTGGGATGCCCCTGTGGGATGCCTCTGTGGGATGCCCCTGTGGGATGCCTCTGTGGGATGCCTCTGTGGGATGCCTCTGTGGGATGCCTCTGTGGGATGCCTCTGTGGGATGCCTCTGTGGGATGCCTCTGTGGGATGCCTCTGTGGGATGCCTCTGTGGGATGCCTCTTGGGGGTGGGCCCCTGTGGGAATGCCTCTGTGGGATGCCTCTGTGGGATGCCTCTGTGGGATGCCCCTGTGGGATGCCCCTGTGGGATGCCTCTGTGACATACCCCTGTGGGATGCCTCTGTGGGGTGCCCCTGTGACATACCCCTGTGGGATGTCTGTGGGATGCCCCTGTGGGGTGCTCTGTGGGATGCCTCTGTGATGGGCCCCTGTGGGATGCCTCTGTGGGATGCCTCTGTGGGATGCCTCTGTGGGATGCCTCTGTGGGATGCCTCTGTGGGATGCCTCTGTGGGATGCCTCTGTGGGATGCCTCTGTGGGATGCCCCGTGGGATGCCCTGTGGGATGCCCCCTGTGACATACCCCTGTGGGATGCCTCTGTGGGGTGCCCCTGTGAAAATACCCCTGTGGGATGTCTGTGGGATTTCCCTGTGGGATGCCTCTGTGGGATGCCTCTGTTTGGGTGCCTCGTGGGATGCCTCTGTGGGATGCCCCTGTGGGGATGCCTCTGTGGGATGCCCCCTGTTGGGATGCCCCGTGGGAAAGCCTCTGTGGGATGCCTCTGTGGGATACCTCTGTGGGATGTCCCTGTGGGATGCCTTGGGGATGCCTCTGTGGGATGCCTCTGTGGGATGCCTCTGTGGGATGCCCCTGTGGGATGCCCCTGTGGGATGCCTCTGTGGGATGCCCCTGTGGGATGCCCCTGTGGGATGCCTCTGTGGGATGCCTCTGTGGGATGCCTCTGTGGGATGCCTCTGTGGGATGCCTCTGTGGGATGCCTCTGTGGGGGTGCCTCTGTGGGATGTCTCTGTGGGATGCCTCTGTGGGGTGCCTCTGTGGGAAGCCTCTGTGGGATGCCTCTGTGGGGTGCCTCTGTGGATGCCCCCGTGGGATGCCCCGTGGGATGCCTCTGTGGGATGCCTCTGTGGGATGCCTCTGTGGGATGCCTCTGTGGGATGCCCCTGTGGGATGCCTCTGTGGGATGCCTCTGTGGGATGCCCCTGTGGGATGCCCCTGTGGGATGCCTCTGTGGGATGCCTCTGTGGGAAAGCCTCTGTGGGGTGCCTCTGTGGGATGCCCCTGTGGGATGCCCCTGTGGGATGCCTCTGTGGGATGCCTCTGTGGGATGCCTCTGTGGGATGCCCCTGTGGGATGCCTCTGTGGGATGCCTCTGTGGGATGCCCCTGTGGGATGCCCCTGTGGGATGCCTCTGTGGGATGCCTCTGTGGGATGCCTCTGTGGGATGCCTCTGTGGGATGCCCCTGTGGGATGCCCCTGTGGGATGCCTCTGTGGGATGCCTCTGTGGGATGCCCCGTGGGATACCTCTGTGGGATGCTCTGTGGGATGCCCCCTGTGGGATGCCCCTGTGGGATGCCTCTGTGGGATGCCCCTGTGGGATGCCCCTGTGGGATGCCTCTGTGGGATGCCTCTGTGGGATGCCTCTGTGGGATGCCTCTGTGGGATGCCTCTGTGGGATGCCTCTGTGGATGCCCCTGTGGGATGCCTCTGTGGGGTGCCTCGTGGATGCCTCTGTGGGCCTCTGTGGGGTGCCTCTGTGGGATGCCTCTGTGGGATGCCTCTGTGGGATGCCTCTGGGGATGCCTCTGTGGGATGCCTCGTGGGGTGCCTCGTGGGATGGGCCTCTGTGGGATGCCTCTGTGGGTGCCTCTTTGGGGATGCCTCTGGGGATGCCTCTGTGGGATGCCTCTGTGGGATGCACTGTGGGATGCCTCTGTGGGATGCCCGGGGATGCCTCTGTGGGGTGCCTCTGTGGGATGCCTCTGTGGGATGCCTCTGGTGGGGAGCCTCTGTGGGATGCCTCGGGATGCCTGTGGGGTGCTCTTGATGCCTCTGTGGGATGCCTCTGTGGGAGCCTCTGTGGGATGCCTCTGTGGGATGCCTCTGTGGGATGCCTCTGTGGATCCTCTGTGGGATGCCTCTGTGGGATGCCTCTGTGGGATGCCTCTGTGGGATGCCTCTGTGGGATGCCCCTGTGGGATGCCTCTGTGGGATGCCTCTGTGGGATGCCTCTGTGGGATGCCTCTGTGGGATGCCTCTGTGGGATGCCCCTGTGGGATGCCTCTGTGGATGCCTCTGTGGGATGCCTCTGTGGGATGCCTCGTGGATGCCCCTGTGGGATGCCTCTGTGGGATGCCTCTGTGGGATGCCTCTGTGGGATGCCTCTGTGGGATGCCTCTGTGGGATGCCTCTGTGGGATGCCTTGTGGATGCCCTGGGATGCCTCTGTGGGGTGCCTCTGTGGGATGCCCCTGTGGATGCCTCTGTGGGATGCCTCTGTGGGATGCCTCTGTGGGATGCCCTCTGTGGGATGCCCCTGTGGGATGCCTCTGTGGGGTGCATCGTGGGATGCCTCTGTGGGGTGCCTCTGTGGGATGCCTCTGTGGGATGCCTCTGTGGATGCCTCGTGGGATGCCTCTGTGGGATGCCTCTGTGGGATGCCTTGTGTGCCTCTGTGGGATGCCCCTGTGGGATGCCTCTGTGGGATTTCCTCTGTGGGATGCCTCGGGGATCCCCTGTGGGATGCCTCTGTGGGATGCCTCTGTGGGATGCCTCTGTGGGATGCCTCTGTGGGGTGCCTCTGGGTGCCTTTTGGATGCCTCTGTGGGATGCCCCTGTGGGATGCCTCTGTGGGAAAGCCTCTGTGGGGATGCCTCTGTGGGATGCCTCTGTGGGATGCCTCTGTGGGATGCCTCTGTGGGATGCCTCTGTGGGATGCCTCTGTGGGATGCCTCTGTGGATGCCTCTGTGGGATGCCTCTGTGGGATGCCTCTGTGGGATGCCTCTGTGGATCTCTGGATGCCTCTGTGGGATGCCTCTGTGGGATGCCCCTGTGGGATGCCCCCTGTGGGATGCCTCTGTGGATGCCTCTGTGGGATGCCTCTGTGGATGCCTCTGTGGGATGCCCTGTGGGGTGCCTCTGTGGGATGCCTCTGTGGGGTGCCTCTGTGGGATGCCCCCTGTGGGATGCCTAGTGGGATGCCTCTGTGGGGTGCCTCTGTGGATGCCTCTGTGGGATGCCTCTGTGGGATGCCCCTGTGGGATGCCTCTGTGGGATGCCTCTGTGGGATGCCTCTGTGGGATGCCTCTGTGGGATGCCTCTGTGGGATGCCTCTGTGGGATGCCTCTGTGGGATGCCTCTGTGGGATGCCTCTGTGGGATGCCTCTGTGGGATACCTCTGTGGGATGCCTCTGTGGGATACCTCTGTGGGATGCCTCTGTGGGATGCCTCTGTGGGATGCCTCTGTGGGATGCCTCTGTGGGATGCCTCTGTGGGATGCCTCTGTGGGATGCCTCTGTGGGATGCCTCTGTGGGATGCCTCTGTGGGATGCCTCTGTGGGATGTGTTCAGGGGAGTTTGTCTGGTAGTCAAGGTATCTGTACAACACTTGGACATACCCGAAATAAATTATTGTTGTCTCGTCTGCCCCACCAATTCCTTTCACTATCTTGTATGTTGTAATTATATCTCCCTAACTCATCTCCGTTGTCATTACTGTGTGTTTATACTTGCCTAAGTTCCTTGACAACTTAGTCCTAACATACGCTTATATATAATATATATATATATATATATATATATATATATATATATATAATATATATATATATATATATATATATATATATATATATATATATATATATATATATATATATATATATATATCAATAACAGCACTGCGACTAGCCAAGGACTCGAACCCATGCTGCTTTGGCCTGCCTCATGGTGGGCGAAAACTCATGACGCCTTAATCCACTGGTGTCATGAGTTTTCGCCCACCATGAGGCAGGCCAAAGCAGCATGGGTTCGAGTCCTTGGCTAGTCGCAGTGCTGTTAATGATATATATATATATATATATATATATATATATATATATATATATAATATATATATATATATATATTATATATATCGTGCCGAATATGTAAAACTGGTCAATTAGCAAGAACTCATTTAAAATTAAGTCCTTTCTAAAATTTTCTCTTATACGTTTAAAGATATATTTTTTTCATTAATGTTAATGTAATTTTTTTAAATTTTGCACCAAAAGAATCTTAGAAAACTTACCTGACCTTATTGTAACAAGAACAATTTACTTTAGCCTAGCCCAACTAAATATATTTTAGATTTGTTTACAATAATTTAATACTAAACAAACACAGTGAAATATATTTTTTTCGTTAGGTTCAGAATGATTTTGGCGAAATTATTGCATACACAAATTTTCACTTGTCCTATATGGCAAGATGAACGTTGCTATTTAAGCCAAGATCGCAAGTTCTGCCTATTCGGCACGACTATATATATAATATATATATATATATATATATATATATATATATATATATATATATATATATATATATATATATATATATGTATATATGTGGTGGTAATAAGACTCACTGTGTGGAATATTAAGAACATCTTCAATAGTCTGAGAGACGGGGTTGCAAGAGATGATAAAAGTACATAATAAGTTGACAATCTGCAGAGCAATAGCGACGGTGACAGCTGCACTGGAGTCCACAGTCAGCAGGATGTTGTCCTTCACTTGGTCACCGTACATAATGTAGCCAGACAGCGCCACTGGCAGGTACATTGTCTGTATACCTGAAGACAGTCACTCTGTAGTTATTACATGAAGGTTCCACTAGAGGATGTAATATTTAGTATTATATTGATAAATTAGACATGTTTCGCCACGCAGTGGCTTCATCAGTCCTATGCAGAGAAGAATGGTGAAGCAGGACGGGATTATATAGGCAGTAAGAGGAAGTGGTGGTAGTACCTGGAGTTTACCTGGAGAGAGTTTCGGGGGTCAACGCCCCCGCGGCCCGGTCTGTGACCAGACCTCCTGGTGGATCAGAGCCTGATCAACCAGGCTGTTGCTGCTGGCTGCACGCAAACCAACGTACGAGCCACAGCCCGGCTGATCAGGAACTGACTTTAGGTGCTTGTCCAGTGCCAGCTTGAAGACTGCCAGGGGTCTGTTGGTAATCCCCCTTATGTGTGCTGGGAGGCAGTTTTGAACGGGGTTCGGGCCCCGGGACACTTATTGTATGGTTTTCAAAACGTCCCTATTGACACCCCTTTTTTTTCTTTTGGGGGGATGGTGCATCGTCTCCCCAAGTTTTGGGGGCTTTCGTAGTGATTTATTTTCGTGTGCAAGTTCCGGTACTATTTCCCCTGGGTTTTTTCCAGGTGTATTTTAATCATGTTCTCTCCCTCCTGCGTTCCGGGGAAAAACAGGTTTGGGGCCCTTTTCAAGGGCTCCCAAAAATTTTGGGGTGTTTTTCCCGTTATGCCCCCCCCGTAAAAGGGTTCTCTGTACTTTTTCTAGGTGGGGAAATTTCCCCTGCCTTGAAAGGGGGCTGTTAGAGTGCAGCAAATTTTTTTTCCAGCCTAGATAGAAAAGTTACCCGAAAAAGTGGGCTCATGGGTTGGGCCCCCCCCTAGTTTTGAAGGTTCTCATTTTCCATCCTTCATTTTTTTTAGCAGATTGGCGATTGATACAAAGTTATGGGCCTTGAAAGGGGAAAATTTCGACATGAACACTCCCAGGGCCCTTTGACGTTGGGGTTTTTTGCTTTTTTTTGTGGCCAAGAATTTGTTTTGTACCTGATGAAGATTTTAATTTTCCCCATGTTTTTAAAATATTGAGTAATTTTAAATTTTCCCTCGTTGAACTTCAATTTTTTTTCCGGGAGCCCCCTGAAAGATTTGGGTTTAAATTTCCCTAGTAGTAGTATATTAATGAATAGTAGGAATGGTGAAGATCAGCAGTTTTGAAGTAAAACAGTCCCTCACCTGGAGCCCTTTCAATCGTCCCCTCATCTTTCAAAATTTTAGGGACTGATTACCCAAATCCTTCTTTATCTTCACCCCTTCTTCTTTTGTATAGGACTGAGGAAACCTGGTGGGGAAACGGTTTTCCCCAATAGAGGGTACCCAACAGTTTTCACTTTTGTCTAATTTATCAATTTCCCCGGTTTTTTTTGAATCATTTTTTATATTGATTTATTGTATACATTAAAAACTATAACCAAAATTTAAAATTTTACTGACTAAATGTGATAAACCCTCGAAAACAAGCCCTGACCGGGGGGGGGGGGTTTAAACCCATGGAGAACAGACAGAAAAATCCAGGCCCCTTCCTAAAAACTCGGGCCCGTACCTTTTTTGACGTTTTTAATTGTCGGTTTTTTAAACCTTTAAATCAAAGTACTAATTTGCCGTAAGTTCAAACCCCCCCATTCCGTGGAAAAAAAAATCTAATGCAGCGAACCCCGGCTATAACAGGGGTTTTTGGGTTTATAGGTACTGCTTTTTAAAACGGGAATCGCTGGGAAAGTGAAGCGCTGTAAAGCGGGACCTTTCCTCTAAATTCACCGCCTTTTTTGACATTATTGTAGCGCAGAGTAAATTTTTCACTGGGTTTAAAAAAGGCTAAGAAGGGGAAAAAAGACCGGGGTATTGTTTCCATTTATAGACAATACTAAACAGGCCCGGGTCAAACAAACAGGTTTTTTGCCAGGGAAACACCAAAGGGGCCTGGCCTACGGCCGGGCTGCGGGAGTACAACAGCTCTCGGAACTCATAAAAACTATAGCAGAAAGCTTATGACGACGTTTCGGTCCAGGACCGATAATTTGTGTAACTTTTATGTGTACGTGTACCTAGATAAACCTATTTACAAATGACAATGTAATCACTGTCCTAGGAATATAATCGTGGCAACCTCACCAGTAAATCCAATATAGATGCTCTTCCAGAAGAGGGACCTGTCTTCCATGTCGTTCTGGATGGTTGGGAAGACTGCTGCTCCTCCATAGGCGAAGAGAATGGAACCAAACCCCAGCGAGAAGGAGGAGACGGTGGGGTTGGGATACCTGGGGTGATCAGGGATGGACTCCTGTCCAGCGAAGATCTCTACGATGATCACCACCACAGCTGCTGCTGTTGCTGTCACTGCTAACACTGATGCTTGCCTGTGGTGGAGAGTGAGGTTAGGGAAGCTTGCCTGTGGTGGAGAGAGAGAAAGAGAGAGAGAGAGAGACTTGTCTCTGGTTCATTAACAGAAGGTAAAGCATGTTGGGGACTTGCTTGTATTGGGATGAAGGTCGTGAAGCATCACATTATTCTAAATTTGTATTTATTTTTCCCATCGTGTCGGTATTCTATTGTGAGACCTTTACCCACTCTACCTGAGGTATCCCAGCAAGTGAGCACGTCTCCTGTGTTATCCCAGTACTTAACAGAATAGGGAATAGCATATGAAGGTACAAATAAAAATGGGAACTATGGCTATAGTTTGCTTAATAACATAAAAGGGCTAGAATACAACCTCCCAATGGACATTTACATAATATAACAATTGACCTATGAGATTTATTGCCAGGGGAAAGGTAGATGTTATCAGTAACATGGACTGGTACTCAATCTTAATTCACTGACCAGCTGACCCGAGATTCCCAATGCGTGGTCCACTACACACGCGGCTGTCCAGTTCTCGCTCCCCAACCTGTCACCAACAAACCCCTTGCTCAGCCTGTTCCTGGCTAATAATCCTTAAGCACCCCCTTCCCCATAACGCGTAGACCACGTGTTACGACCTGACGCTGACATCTGACGCCAGTGACGAACAAACGAGCTGAGACTAAGCCGAAAAGGCGTGGCTCTGATATACGTTTGCCAAGGCAAGGTGTGAAAATTTGTCTGGGCTGCCTCCAAGTGAGTCGCCTACCCTGGCAAGCTCTGTTGACACCGAGCTCTGAGGTCGGTACCCTGCCCACAAGGCTTATGGGACAGATTTTCAAAAAATGATGATGTTGCAAGAAACTCGCCTGCATGCACATTTAAAGGACTAACTTACTCGGTGTTGCAGCATATATCCTGATCTTCAACTTCCCTAAGCTTAGCCTTAGCCCCTTTGGACTTCCCCTCAGAAACCATGTGCAAAGGGGACCCTTTAAATTCTGATATTTTTAAATCGTATTATGACCTGCCTGCCCCTCAAAAATTTCCCTATATAAAAGGGGTGGTATCCCCTATAAACTATGCAGACATGGGCACTAGCTTCTGATAACAAGAGACACTGGTAATTTCTGAGCATGCACTGCACTGCACACAGGGTTTACGTAAACTCACTCACAATTTTCCCCAGACACGGGCCAGAAAATCCTAAGAGAAAGTGGGGGTTTTGTCTTATGTATGGACCTGATGGAAAAGGTCATCACGATACATCGGGTGCCTCTACCGTTTTCCCCATCTCAAATGTAAGCACGGGGGGGGTGCCGTCTGCTGTCAGGGCACGTGTTGTCCAGTTGGTGTCTGCAAAGAAGGGCATTCCCCGTCTACGAGCCCCCGCCCCCTCATCGTTCAAACTAGGGCTCCCAGTTCCCCCTAGAAAACTTAACCTAGGCTTGCCTACAGAGGCCTATTACACCTATGTTAAGTTTTTAGGTTACATTTTTATATCTACAGTTCCCTCAATAACCTATATTATTACTAACAGTAAAACTGCCTTTTTCTTCCCAAAGGAAAATTTAAAAATTTAAATAGTACCTTCCATCCACATTCGACAACCCGGGGAGAGAGCCTTTTGTTTGGGTTGGGTTAAGGGCCCCCCACTGTGTGTTTTTTTTTTTGGGGGGGTAAGGGCCCTCGAACGGGTGTTTTTTTCCCCTTGGGGCTTTTTGAACTGAAAAAGTTTCCAAAACAAGGGGGTGACCATATAATTAGGGCCCCTAAGCCCCACAACCCAGCTGAACTACATCACATTTCATTTCCCATCTCGTAGTAAATAATATTATAACACACATAACCGGGGATTTTAGAATCATAAATAAGTAGGTGAGGAGAAGTAGGGTTACCGACAGGCGCCTGGCCCAATTTGGGGAAGACCCGGGCCGGGGACAAGCCCGGGGAAACCTACTACCCAGGATGGATGATTGTCAAATCACCAGAGTCCTTGGGTGTGCCCACCGGTAAAGAATAATGCCAACACCCACGTGATAACCTTTGACACTTATTTAAGGCACAAGAGTCATCAAGGTGGGGGTAATCGGAGGGTGGCCCAAAATCTCGCGATGAGGGTGATGAATACCCTAGCGCTTTCCCAAGAGGGTTTACTACCACTGTCACCATTGGAGCTTCCTGTAACAAGAGTGGTGTTACAGTGAAAGGGTGGGCTACCACTGTCACCAGTGGATCTTCCTTAAAAAAGAGTGGGTTACATGAAAGGTTTTTACTACCACTGTCCCAGTGTGACCTTCCCGAAAAAATGGGTTACAGTGAAAAAGGTTGATACCACGCACCATGTGACTTCCTGTAACAAGAGTGGTTTACAGTGAAAAGGTGACTACCACTGCACCAGGTGACTTCCTTAACAAAGTGTGGTGTTACGTGAAGGTTTTCTACCCTGTCACCCGTGTGTCTTCCTGTAACAAGAGTGGGGTTTTCAGTAAAGGGTTTACTACCACTGTACCATTGATCTTCCTGTAACAAGAGGGGGTTACAGTGAAAAGGTTAACTACCACTGTCACCCCTGGGGAATTTCCTGTAAAAAAAGAGTGGTGTTTCAGGAAAAATTTTACTACCCCTGTACCATGTCATCTTCCTGTAACAAAAAGTGGGTTTTACAGTGAAAGGTTGACTACAATGTCACCAGTGTGATCTTCCTGTAACAAGAGTGGTGTTACAGTGAAAGGTTGACTACCACTGTCACCAGTGTGATCTTCCTGTAACAAGAGTGGTGTTACAGTGAAAGGTTGACTACCACTGTCACCAGTGTGATCTTCCTGTAACAAGAGTGGTGTTACAGTGAAAGGTTTGACTACCACTGTCACCAGTGTGATCTTCCTGTAACAAGAGTGGTGTTACAGTGAAGGTTGACTACCACTGTCACCAGTGTGATCTTCCTGTAACAAGAGTGGTGTTACAGTGAAAGGTTGACTACCACTGTCACCAGTGTGATCTTCCTGTAACAAGAGTGGTGTTACAGTGAAAGGTTGACTACCACTGTCACCAGTGTGATCTTCCTGTAACAAGGTGGTGTTACAGTGAAAGGTTGACTACCACTGTCACCAGTGTGATCTTCCTGTAACAAGAGTGGTGTTACAGTGAAAGGTTGACTACCACTGTCACCAGTGTCATCTTCCTCTAACACCAGCGTCATGTCTCTGGACTCATTCACTATGTATTTGATTAGTATCCAATACTTTTATTAATAGTTTCAATTTGCCACAAATATTGGTTGGTTCGTTAATGCATTTTAAAAGCTATCAACTATAGCGGGCCCAGTAGGCCTACGTAACACCAAGCAAGAAGACTTAAAATTGGGATTAAAATTCACCCAGCATATATACCCTGAGAAAAATACTTTCAAACCTCTCGATATATACATTATTTTTCCTTTACTGGGCTTAACAGTCATTGTCCTATAGAGAGGCATAGATAACCTGGGCAGAAATACTAGGCATTCTTTGAAGTTTTATTTTTATCTGCTTTTTACGTACTTATTGAAATAAATTATTATTATTGGTATTATTATAATTTTTAAAGCCCTTTTAAAAAGGTTTTGTAGCTCCCTTTTTTTTGTATCGAATATTTTTTTGCTTCCTTTTCCCCCCAGGAAACCTATACGGCCCCTACGGGTTTAAAACGTATCTCCACAAACTAAAATAATCTCACCGTCCAGTGCTTCCCAGGGGATCGGTAAGAAATTTTTCCCAAAAATTGGGGTGTCGGGGCAGGTTCTTTGTACTCGGGCCAACTTTTCCCCCCCGGGTTAAACATATGACCTCCCCACCCCTGAGGGCCCTGCAAAACCCAAAACTAAAGGGGCAAACAACAGCATCTTGGGATCCCCGCCAACCGGGGGTGAGAATGACAGTCAGACTAAAAGGAATTTACTCCCCCAGGTTTGGCAAAAATATGAACATTAAAACCCAAAGTATTTCTTTACTTACCCAAACAAAGTCGGAACAACGCCCAGTTTTGGGGCCCCCTTACTTAAAAAGTTTGGGTCCTACACGATGCAGAAAAGGAAATGAGTTGTTTCCCCAAGTCCCGTATGCCTCTTTTTTTTTAGCAAGCCGTTTAACCAGACGAGGGGTCCCAAAAGGATCTAAATGAATTTTTTATGAAGAGCCCCCAAAATTTAAATTAACACAACCCTCCCCCTATGTTTTTCCTGACCCCAAAATGACTTCGAAAGGCGATAAATGAAACCCCCACCACTCTCCCCCAAAGGGCCAACTCAGGGGAACTCTGGGTTATCAAGAACTGCAAAAAACCCCCCTATCACGACTTTTACCTTTCCTTTTTGGAGGGGGAAAGCATGGACACGGGGGTCGTCCCACAGTTACTAAAAACAAGACATAGCCCCACTCCACAAAGGGGGCAGTAAAGCAATAGCAAAGAACTACAGACCGATAGCGTTAACATCCCATATCATAAAATCTTTGAAAGGGTCCTAAGAAGCAAGATCGCCACCCGTCTAGATACCCATCAATTACACAACCCAGGGCAACATGGGTTTAGAACAGGTCGCTCCTGTCTGTCCCAACTATTCGATCACTACGACAAGGTCCTAGATGCACTAGAAGACAAAAAGAATGCAGATGTAATATATACAGACTTTGCAAAAGCCTTCGACAAGTGTGACCATGGCGTAATAGCGCACAAAATGCGTGCTAAAGGAATAACAGGAAAAGTTGGTAGATGGATCTATAATTTCCTCACAAACAGAACATAAAGAGTAGTAGTCAACAAAGTCCGAGGCAGCTACGGTGAAAAGCTCTGTTCCACAAGGCACAGTACTCGCTCCAATCTTGTTTCTCATCATCATATCTGACACAGACAAGGATGTCAGCCACAGCACCGTGTCTTCCTTTGCAGATGACACCCGAATCTGCATGACAGTGACTTCCATTGCAGACACTGCAAGGCTCCAGGCGGACATCAACCAAATCTTTCAGTGGGCTGCAGAAAACAATATAAAGTTCAACGATGAGAAATTTCAATTACTCCGATATGATAAACGTGAGGAAATTAAAACTTCATCAGAGTATAAAACAAATTCTGGCCACAAAATAGAGCGAAACACCAACGTCAAAGACCTGGGAGTGATCATGTCGGAGGATCTCACCTTCAAGGACCATAACATTGTATCAATCGCATCTGCTAGAAAAATGACAGGATGGATAATGAGAACCTTCAAAACTAGGGATGCCAAGCCCATGATGACACTCTTCAGGTCACTTGTTCTATCTAGGCTGGAATATTGCTGCACACTAACAGCACCTTTCAAGGCAGGTGAAATTGCTGACCTAGAAAATGTACAGAGAACCTTCACGGCGTGCATAACGGAGATAAAACACCTCAATTACTGGGAGCGCTTGAGGTTCCTAAACCTGTATTCCCTGGAATGCAGGCGGGAGAGATACATGATTATATACAACTGGAAAATCCTAGAGGGACTAGTACCGAACTTGCACACGAAAATCACTCACAACGAAAGCAAAAGACTCGGCAGACGATGCAACATCGCCCCAATGAAAAGCAGGGGTGTCACTAGCACGTTAAGAGACCATACAATAAGCGTCAGGGGCCCGAGACTGTTCAACTGCCTCCCAGCATACATAAGGGGGATTACCAATAGACACCTGACAGTCTTCAAGCTGGCACTGGACAAGCACCTAAAGTCTGTACCTGACCAGCCGGGCTGTGGCTCGTACATTGGATTGCGTGCAGCCAGTAGTAACAGCCTGGTTGATCAGGCCCTGTTCCACCATGAGTCCTGGTCACAGACCGGGCCGCGGGGGCGTTGACCCCCGGAACTCTCTCCAGGTAAAATTAATGGTGTGAATTAGTACATTATCGTCTTAGAAGACAGCGCAAAATAGGACCGGTAACACATTTAAATTGATTATTTAGTCACTGGACAGTTCATTCAGCAAGTGTTTACGTTATTTTCTTCAGCCCCTGTAATAACAGGAACAGAGCTTCTCCCAGTATAGTTCCCCGAGATGACTTCTGCTAGAAGCGAGTTACCGGCGAATCAACCGAGATTTTTTCTTGTTGTGGTTTATAGGGCCTCTGACAGCTTACGCCGTATCTAGCCCTTACAGTGTTAACATTCCCAAATGCTAGTGTACTTACCTATTTGTAGTTTGGGGTAGTGTCTAAGCCTATAGCCCTGAATATTCCCGCGTACCTCTGCTTTCACCAGTTTCCTGCCTCTTGTGCCCTGTCGTACCTATTCATAAAACTGTGTCATCACTTACGTCTTTCCACTTATTGATTACCCTGAGGCTGAGTAACTCCTTCACATCCCCGTCACTTGCTTTTGTAGCATCCATTTGTCTAATTTTATGTTTGTTACTTATAAGGGGGATTACCAACAGACCCCTGGCAGTCTTCAAGCTGGCACTGGACAAGCACCTAAAGTCGGTTCCTGACCAGCCGGGCTGTGGCTCGTATGTTGGTTTGCATGCAGCCAGCAGCAACAGCCTCGTTGATCAGGCTCTGATCCACCAGGAGGCCTGGTCACAGACCGGGCCGCGGGGGCGTTGACCCCCGGAACTCTCTCCAGGTAAACTCCAGGTATATCCTTATACCTGATGCCTTGCTTGTAACTTGTCTTTACCTGGAGTTTACCTGGAGAGAGTTTCGGGGGTCAACGCCCCCGCGGCCCGGTCTGTGACCAGGCCTCCTGGTGGATCAGCGCCTGATCAACCAGGCTGTTGCTGCTGGCTGCACGCAAACCAACGTACGAGCCACAGCCCGGCTGATCAGGAACTGACTTTAGGTGCTTGTCCAGTGCCAGCTTGAAGACTGCCAGGGGTCTGTTGGTAATCCCCCTTATGTGTGCTGGGAGGCAGTTGAACAGTCTCGGGCCCCTGACACTTATTGTATGGTCTCTTTGCCTACATAATCGGTGCCATTTACCGGATACCTCACACAAACATCCCAAATTTCAGCGAGAAATTAAAGTCACTAATAACAAACAGACAAATGAATAAGCACCACCTTCTCTTAGCTGGAGACTTCAACATCAACCTTGGCTTACTAGATGATCAGCCTGTAACTGATTTCATCAACAATATGAACAATACACTTCTCATACCAACAATAACTAAACCAACCAGGCTCACTGAGACAAGTGCAACCATAATAGACCACATATGGACCAATATACTAGCCCCCCTTAAATCAGGGATAATCACAGACAGCACTACTGACCACTACCCTACCTTCCTTTTAACAAACATTAGTAAGCCACCACTCGAATACAACAAAGTTTCATTTAGACTCCATGATGAGGCCTCAATAAGGAAGTTCACAGCTGACCTAGAGACTGTTGACTGGCCTACAGAATTCTCCAAGGCCAATGGTATTGATGACTGGACAGACATTTTTCTTAACAAATTACTTAGACTATACAACAAACATTGTCCTATAAAAATGAAACAGATCACAAACAAACGGCTTGGTTGCCCATGGCTAACCAGCACCATTCTGAAATCCATTGACAAGAAACACCAATATGAAAAGCAATATAGACAGGGCTTAATACACAAAGATATTCTTAAACACTATTCATCAGTTCTCACCAAAGTAATAAAGAAAGCCAAACAACTATACTACTCCAGTAGATTCACAGACACTAGAGGAGATATAAAAAAGACCTGGAAAACACTCTCTCAGATTCTAGGGACCCACAAACTGAAAAAAAAACAAGAATATTGTCCTAACTAAACCTAATGAAACACCACTACATCCCACTGACAAGATAAACGACTTCTTCTCAACCATAGGATCTAATCTCGCCAATAAAATCCCACATACCAATGCCCATGCCGGGGACTACCTAAATGGGAATTTCCCAAATTCCTTCTATCTTGCACCAACTGAGCCCACGGAAGTCACCGAGATTATAAAGTCACTTAAAAATAACTCAGGGAATCTGTCTCATGTCCCACCATTACTGTACAAGCGAGCGGCCCATGTCCTTTCGCATGCTATACACTAGGAATTTTTATTGACTTAAGAAAAGCTTTTGACACAGTAGACCACGACATCCTACTCCACAAACTTGACCATTAACGGTTTGTAAGAGGCCATGCGCTTGCTTTTATTTCAAAAATTTACCTTACTAATAGGTATCAGAAA